GGCTGCCGAGCATGGACGTCCGTTTCTGTTTGCTGGCAGTGAAATGGGAAGGTGACTGAAGGGATCTTCTCTTCGTCCCATGCTCGATAATCAGATGTGAACATCTGGAACAGAACGATTATTGATATGAGCTCCTACAAGCAAGCGCTTCAAACAAAGCTTTCTGTTTTCACAACACACAACATCTGCAGTTCATTTCCATTAATGAAACATTGCCAATGTGAAAATATCGCTATCAGCATTTCAAATGTTCCTAACTTTCAATGCTTTAAAATAGGTAATTGCAACACAAATTGCCAACATTCATTGTAAAACCAACATACAAACAAAGTAAGGACTATTTAAAATCAAATGGTAAGTCTGAAATATAAGCAGGCAAAAGAAGAAAGTCCTTACGCGTGATGTCCATTCATGACAGCATAATCATCAGAAGACCATCCCTTATCATCTTTCACCGTGATGTCGGCATCGTACTGCAGAAGCAAACGCACCATGCTGATTTGTCCGTTGCACGCAGCTATCATCAACGCAGACCTTAACAATGACAGACAGAATGTGAATCAATGTTGTTATCGTTAACTAAAAAATACTAGAAGACATTTATTTTAACTGAAATACATTTATTCTTAACATATTAATATTAATTTTACTTCAGTTAGTTGCGAAGACAACATTTTTCATTTCCATTTTGTTTTAAGTACTTAAATTACTAAAAGTGAAATATTAATAAAAACTATACAAAAACCAATATAATAAATGTTCTATAAAAAATAAAGCAAAAAAACAATATAACAATAATAAAATAAAAAAATGACTCAAAATTGCTAAAAACTAAAACTGAAATAAAAAAAACTAATAAAAAAATAAAAACAACATCAATACGACAATGACAACAAAATAAACTAATAAAAATAACTAAAATGCACAATAAATTACTCAAATGACAATAAAAAACTAAATTAAATCGAATTCAAAATATTAATAATGATTTATTTGGCTTACAAATCAATTGTTGTTTATTTATCCATTTGTTTATCAGTCCTATTATTCCTGTTTATTTATTAAGTTTGTTGAAAAGAAAATTAATAGAGCATAATTTCATAACATTTCTCCATTATATCTTCCTAAACGCACACTAGAACAATACCTAACAATACCAAGATGACTACAGAACTTTCACTTTTGGATGAACTAATCCATTAAAGTGCGTCTTTCTAACCGTTGCTCCTGATTCTTGACATTAACATCCGCTCCCTCTTTCAGTAAAAGCTCAATCATGTCTGCATGGTTTTCCATCACAGCCAGCATCAGTGGAGTGTTGCCATCCTGTCAATCAAACCACAACAAAACAAGACTGGACTGCATTAACTATCTTACCTTTCAATGTGCAAGACGATCGCTTTTGTATTTATAAGTGCATCCTTCTAGCTCAACCAATGGTACGAGTAAGCATTTTAGTGTATATTATGCAGTACTCACTAAGTAGAAAGTTAGTAGTCCATTATTTCTGCAATTTGGCACTGCAGAAATTAAACACTTCATCTTAATGTATCAGACAGCCGCTGTGTGTGGTTAATACTGTGATAATCTGAAGTCGGACAGTATAGTTTCACCTTGTTCTGTGCGTTGATGTTGGCTGAGTGCTCCAGGAGCTGCAGCACCACAGGAAGGGAGGGGATACGGGCGGCCAGGTGCAGTGCCGTGTTTCCACTGATGTCCACCAGGTTGGGGTCAGCCTCATGTTCCAGGAGCAAAGAGACGGAGCGGTCTTGTTCACACTGAACCGCCTACCAGACATGCATAACAACAAAGACATACCAGTCAGCAAGTATTTATACTGTATGTATATGATTTCACAAGAACAAACTGAATGTACCTTCATTAAGGCGGAGCGGTTCTGATTGTCGCATAAGTTCAGCTTCACTTTGCTCTCCACTAAGAACTGAACCACATCTGTGTGTCCGCAGGCACAAGCGATGTGCAGTGCAGTCCTGCGGGTCCAATCACAGAGGATAAATTAGAGCATTACTGAAGATACAAACAGTTTAAAACAACAGCAAATACATTTTGTTGTTGTTTTGTTTTTTTAAAGAAACCAATACTTTTATTCAGCAAGGTAAAGACATTTATAGTGTTACAAAAGATTTCTATTTCAAATAAATGCTGTTCTTTTGAACTTCCTATTCATCAAAGAATCCTGAAAAAAGTATCGTGGTTTCCACAAAAATATGCAAGCAGCACAACTGTTACATTGATACAATGTACAGTGCTCTCTTCCACCTTCAAAACCACGACTGAGGCGCCCTTGAGCAAAACCCCCAACTGCTCCCCGGGCGCCGCAGCCTAAATGGCTGCCCACGTCACTTTTTCACTTTCATATTAGAATGATCTCTGAAGGATCGTGTGACACTAAAGACTGGAGTAATGACGCTGAAAATTCAGCTTTGATCACAGGAATAAATTACATTTTTAAATATAAATAGAAAACAGATATTTTAAATTGTAATAACATTTCATAATATTACTGTTTTTGGTTGGTGAGCCGAAGAGACTTCTTTCAAAAACATTAAAAAATATTACAGACCCCAAACTTTTAAACAGTAGTGTATGAATGTTTCTTCTGAAAGAACACGGTGAAATAAGTCTTGGGATTTAAGCTGCTAGTACTGCAAATATGATTATGCATCAACAAATGCTACCATTAAATGATTCTTCATGCATCATAATGTGAACAAGAAATCAAAATGGACCCTATTTACTCTATTAATAAACATTTTAGTATTTTTAGGTTATTCCAAAGAAACATGTTGTTAACCAAACACCTATTTAGGCATTGATTTAGCAAACTGGCGTTAGGTCTAGCTGCATTTTAGTATAAAACACCTTTTTTTTTTCAATCCCATCAATTCTCAAATTTTCATGTTGAACATGGAAATAGTTACTTTATAGATGTATTAATTCCAGCTTGTTGAACATTTTGATTTTGTAAAGAAAAAATATTTTAATGAAAAATAACTTAAACTTACTTAAAACTGCTAAAAAAAAAAATTTTAAAAAAAGGTTATTCTTTTGTAGTGGAGCCAATTAAAAATCTAAAACAAATTCAGACCAAATCCATATTGTATATGCACACTTTTGTTTTGCAAACTTAAAAAAACATAATAATAATAATAATTTTAATGAACATTAAGTTAAATTTCATGAAAAATACAAATATTTCTAACAAATATAAAAAAGAATTTGCTAAAAAATAAATATAGCTCATTCTATTGTAGTTGGGAAAATGAAAATGTTAGCAGGGGAAGGTGAAAAAGCAATACAACTACTGGCCAAATCCCTATTGCTGAGCCCTGAAGGAGAAGTCTGATGGTGACAACTGGGGCCGCATTACAGAAACTTTCTATCTTAAGTCTAAAGTTAAGATCTAACAAGGTTCAATCTGGCAAGTGGCAAGTTCAATCTTCCATGTGAAAATCGCTGTCGGTGGTAAGATTCCGTATTTTCATTTTGCTTTGTCCACTACAAACAAAACAGTTGCAGTTCATCAACAGTTACCTGTTTTCCTTATCCAGCTGGTTTAAATCATTCTTTTTGGCCAGCTGTCTGAGTTTGACCACATCTCCGCTGAACGCAGCCTTGTGGACCTTCCCGAGGTCTTTCTCCTTCACATCATAGCTGGCCGACAGCACGCTCCCCGTCTCAGAGGGGCTGGGGGAGCCCTTCTTCTTCTTGAAGTTGAATATTTTCTTCATGGTCTGTGAAGGCACATCTCCATCAGCGGATTGTCGTTTACCTGAGCTTCAGGTTCTGATCACCTTGCATGTCTCGTCCATCCTCTAAAAATAAATCCTGCAAAGAGGATTAGAGTTATTTAATAATGACAGAAGCACAGGTCAGTCTGTCGTGTGCACGTTAAGTTTGCTGTCCTTATAAAACTTATGTTTGATCATGATTTATTCCAATAGACTGCACAAAGTTTATTACAAACCCCATATAAAAAGATACTGTGATGAAAAACCATGGTACGGTGGCAGTATCAGATGGTAATATCATGGTATTTTATTCATATAGCATGGTGTTTACAAGGTACTCCAAGATACTTTAAAAACACCATGGCATTGTTTAAAAACCATGGTAAATCGTTGGTTTTTATATTGAATAAGCTATAAACCAGTTACCTATACAATATATTGTATTATAATCAAATGCGACAAACAAAGCACATATAAACACAGTTGTTTAAAGAAAAAAATAATATATTTGTATTGTTTAGAAAAGCTTATAATCTCAGTGATCAGATCACCTCATCGTGTTAATCTGCTAAATTAACAACGATAGTCAACCAATCCACCTGTCGAGTTTACAAACTCACCTACATTGTCGTTTCAGTATGGGGCGTCTATTAGTTGTATTTTAAACGAAAAATAAAACACGAAAAGATTACAAATGATGCTCGTTATCGAGTAAGACACATCGGGTCTGCTCAAGCGAGGAGCCGTTTACGACGCTAGCAAGCTAGCTGCTTCTGTTACCATGGTAACAGTGTGAAGCTCGTATTTAATCCCAATAATTAATTCTAATTTTTTTGTACTACATACAAAACGGTTGGGAAATTTCGAGAACTCTTATAAATAAATGTTAAACTGTCAAGCTGATCTAGTTTTATGTTTAATAAAAATGAACGAGCCTAATATCAAAGCACGGAACTCGTTACGTTTTGCTCTGTTTTCACACGGAATGTCGAACACGCCAACGTCACGATGGAGGCGGGGACTTCACCGATCTCTTCCTGCATTGGACGGTTTGAATCAATGACAGGCATGCGTATCATCCAATGAGAGCACAGCTCGAAATTTTCTTGATTGTGATTGGCCAAATTCGCGTTGACAGACAGCAGTATTGTCTAATTGCATACACTGATTATATGGTCCCTCCCAGAATCGGCGGTTCGTAGCTCATTATTCGTCAGAGCAGAATTTTAAACTATTTAAACCGTTTTGAGCGGGTGCAGAAAAACAAGAGACAGTGAGTGGAGCCGAGAAAGACACAAAGTAGTTTGTAATGTCAAATTAGCATCTAATGTTTATTTACAAAATAGAAGCCAGGATTATAACTTTGGATCATCAAGTCTTTGTTTTTGCAGCGCTATCGTGCATACAGGCTAAAGAGGTAGATGCCGTTTTAAAATGTACTATGCTGCTGATTAGCTTAGCTAGGTTGGCTAAGGATTCGTAACAAGGTCAGAAATAAACTCACATGTTTTAGTTATTCGCATGTTATTTTGTGTAAGTGTAATATTCTTATGTCATAAATGTAACAAACGAAATGTAATATCTATTGGTTTGTCTTATTCAAGCATGTTTATCTGCAACTGTGTTTGGACTGAGATCGGAATAAAGATTTCATGTATAAAAGCCAAATTAGATTAAATGTGTTTATACGTGACTGGAGAAAACCGTGAGAAAAAATGCGCTTGAAAGTTTGTCAGTCATAAATGGTTAGTACGCAGTAATCTACCTGCATCAAGTCGGTGAAATGTTTTCTATTGTCTTGGAAAAACGCCGTCTAAATTCTCGATTTCTTTGTTGTAAGATGACCGATGTAAAATAAAGCGATTTCCATGCTAGTTCTGGATGCCAGTGAAATGCATGTGTGTATATATAAACGAGTGTGGGCCTTTTGCTCTTTGTGGTCAAGTTTACCACGAAAACGCAAATGCATGATTTTACATTTTCTCTGAAACACCGTAAGTTAGCATAACTGTTATGTGTATCTAAACGAGTGTGTTTTCAAAATGACAGCTTGAGAATAGTGCCCAGTGGAGTCATAAAGTAAAGTTAGTTTGTGATCATTTGCATGCAAATTGATTTTATCCCCCAAAATGCCACTGTTTTACACTTCACAGATTGGCTTTATTCGTCAGTATTGCAAAACCAAGACCTTTCATTGTGTATTTCCAGGGGCACCACCATGAGTTCCTTGCCGGAGACCACGCGCTCCCTCATGGAGGTTTTTAATGGGAAACTGCAGGATTTTACAGATGAAATTGCCAATGTCCACATGGTGTGGCTGGAGGAGATCCAGCAGGAAGCTTATCGCATGTTTTCCAGGTGAGAGACACTGTAAATGTGAGGTGGAGTATGTTATACACTTCATACTGTTATATTCTGTCACTAGTTGCTTGTCACTTTGTGTGTATGTGAGAATCACTCAGTTACTTTTCAGGTTATTATCCTCTAACATGTTCTGTCTGCCAAAAGCCTTTATCCATGAAGAATGTTTTATTAGATTGTGCTGGTTTTAACCTTGTCTGAGAACTTTTTTTTTTAAATTATTATTCAGTTAACTCTTTTGAAGCGATTTTTAACAAAGTTAAGCCAAATACAGTTTGAGTTTTCAGTGAAAATAAATTGTAAATACCTGATAATTTGGCAATAAATATTTCTTGCCATGAAAATAGCCACAGAACCTGGCATGGCGTTAAACGCAAACTATTCAGGTTATTAGACATGCTCATTAAAAAAAACATGTTTTGTTGTGCTGCAGTGACTTCAGCACCGAGCCAGAACTCATGCCAAAGACTCCGTCACAGAAAAAGACAAACCACAGGAAGCGAGTGTCGATGGAGCTCAATGAGTCTCGCAGCAAAAGACGGTAAGGGTTTTAAGTCTGTTAACTTGCTTGGTACAGAAACATTTTACAGGTCTACAGCAACATCTGTTGATATTCATGTTTTATTAGACGGAGTTATTTGTTTTGTTTAGATTTCTACAATCTAGATGGTTTTTGACTGGTATCCTGTGGTCCTGTAGGGCTACAGTGTTTTGTTTTATTAATTTATTTAAATAATTTTCCTGATAAATTGTAATTTTAAACCACTATAGGTTTCCTGTGTCTGTTTGTAGTGCTGCACAATTTGGACCAAAATTGTGATTTATCAATTTGACTATAAAAAAAACTATGTATGTATATGTGTGTATATATACAGGGCCTAAAACTAACTTTTTGCCACACCTGCCAATGGCCGGTGACATGATAAAATTTACCGGCCAAAAGTTTTTGTTTTTTTTACTGGCCATGAAACTCTTTTAGCAAAAACAGGCAGTTATTACTACTACAATGACTAAATATATTTACAATATTTTTAATTTGTCCTGCTGGTGCATTTTCCCTATTAATTATAGCCATTCAACATTACAGTATAATTGAAAGCCATTATTTTAAACATTTAATAGGCTCTGAAATATATAACAACTTTTAATTTAAGTGACTTTAAAACAATCTTCACTTAAAATATATTATATATGCATTAACTATACATATTAATCTTTATTCAAGCTATAAAAGTTCATCAACTGACAGACTTCAGCAGGTTTCACTTTAAAATCAGCGCT